TGAAAGTTCCACGAGTTTATCCCTCATGTGGTATTTTGATGGCATAGCATACTTTTTTTGTTTGTATTGTTGTACTGCTGTTGTATGTCGCTCTTCAACCATTTTTGCGTCTTTTGGCTTACGTCGCCAATGAATTCAATTCTGAGGATATTTTCATCACGGTCTTGGATAGTCAGATGAGCAACGTCTTGATGCTTACATGCGACTGTTCCTTGCTTAAATACAGAGCACCAATACGGATTAAAAGCCTTCAATATCTCATAAAAAGTCGTTTAGCTCCCTGCAAATGATGTATGCGCGCTTACATCTTCCCCAGATTTCACAGATATGTTCAACCACAATGAGCAATGTCTAACATAGGAAACTGATCGTACCAACTTGGCTTGAAATCTACCAGATGAAAGTATATTACTATTTGATAATGTGTTGACAGTGTATGCTAGAAGATGTGGTTTCATCTTCCTTTACGGAACTGTAACATTGACACTGATCTGTAGCAACGTCGTAGCACAGTCATCTGGCTGTTCAATATTACTTCGACTATTATCTGTAGCTATAGGTCCTTCAGAAACAAAATATTAAAATTGGTATACCCATCTTCCTGTTCGCGCTTGGAATGTACAATTGACCATGACAACCTTAATTGAAATAGCTGTAATCATGTAGTTGAATATTCTTTGTATAACATTGTGTCCACTGTCAAGCAATTTTCCCCGCCCTTTTTGTTTCGCTTTATTTCGACTTATTTTTGGCGAAATAAGGCTAAAATTGTAAGTTTAAATATAGTTCTTAATTATGCTTGAGTCACCTAATATTCTTCTTGGATCTTTAACCTTCTCTTAATATCGAAATGCTACCAATAAATCAAAACTTTGCCGAATATATCTTGAAATAATTTAACAGTTACGTCCGACCACTGATCTGTATACTAATTAGTGCGTCCGACCAAATTTGGAAATTTCCGATCAAATTTCATTTTGGTCGGACATTTTTTCCGGAAAAGTTTTGAAAGTTATTTCAGGCTCCGCTTCGGAACACCAGAGAATACTTTCCTTGAGTGCCCAAGTTCTCCTTCTCTCTTCCTGATCAAGTTGTAGCATTCTGTACATAATGTAGTAATTATAGCGTTAACCAAAAGAGAGTGGACCCTTTTGCCATCTCTGATATTCGCCGTCCCTCCAAAGTCTTCAATTGTTTACGAACACTTGTCTGACAACACATGAAAATCAAAAGCCAAACTTTCGTATGCATCCTGTTTGTTGTATATGATCCTTCCATCGTGGAAAACAAGAAAACTACCTTCCCAGGAGCATGAAACGATGAAGACGCGCGACACACGAAAACCAACACAAAAGAACCAAATATCCACATGTAAAAGTCTAATGGTCATACGAATCGATTGATCTATGTCGATGGATCTTTGTCGATAAAAAACCAAAGAACTATTTAATACGGCGAATTTTTTCCAAAGAACAATACTTTTCCAGCAACCTCACACGAGAAATCCACACGAAAAAATCCGACTCCCGCACGAAAAACTAATATGTGACCAAGCATGAGAGAATGCTTTCACGTATAGGCAAATGTTCGCACGCATTTGTACTGCATAACTATATACTAGACTTCTCAACAGCAGGCGCGTGTACTGTAGCTCTTTTCCAGAACTATCAAATTCTTTTCCAGAACTCCAAACAGTCAATTTTGGTGCCTCAATACATACAAGCTCACGTCTCGTACATATTGTGGCTACACTGACCTCTTTATGTAACTGAAGGCGTATTAAGACTAACTTGTGATTCGTGTATGGTACTTGCCGTATTTTTCACCTCAGAGATACTGGAACATCCCGGGCGACTATTGTTTGCGAGTAAGGCTTCTGACTGCGTAGATACATCACGGCGGAGAAATTGTAATATCAGTTCGTTTAGTTTTTCAGGACATTCTAACATGACCATATGACTAGCATCTTCGATGACTTCCAATGACGATCCATAGATTGTCTGAAATTTTTATTAAGAAATTTTTATTAAAAATAATAGTTGGTTTCAGATTTCCGACCGACCTGTCAAAAATATGACCGACCATAAACATTTTTATTGACATTTCCCAGTAAAGACCATCTTTTCGTAAAGAACAGAATATATAAATAGTCATCAGACTCATTTGTCTACAAATTATTTTGTTTGCTTATAATTTAAGCATTATCCAGTCATGTTAATCATAATTTTACACAGTTGAATAAAATATTAAAAACGTACATTATTCTGACATGGCAGCTACGGCTGAAAAAAGACGAAAACGCCTTGATGTTTTAATGTTTTTAATGCGTTTGTTTCTCGCGAAACACATGTAGCCCGCGTGTGATCCCGCACGCACGTTCGATCACGCGTGAACATTGCTCATAAACAACTTATATTTATTGCATACTTGAGATAAAATATTTTTTAAAATAAAATGTTTTTCCGACCTACCCACCCATATAAAACATGGCTGTGAAATCTGAAACCAACTATCATTATTTGGCCCAAAGACGTGGTTGTTCCGGGCATTAGCCCGGGGTTGAGGGTACTTATTCCGCCCAGCTATTTACACCCAGGGAAAGGAAAGCTTTGGCGAAGTCTAAAGTTCATCATGACTACGGTTCATGGGTGTATGAGTGGTCATCTCACTGATCTCAAAAATATGGCTGTTTGCCTGGAGTGAAGGAGGCTAAGATTTAATAAAACATGTAATAAAGCTTGGGAGATCGTTTCACGCAATAAATTGTAAAATAATTTTTTCAAAATTTTAAAAGAAACAATAAGGGTTGATTTAGTATGGAAAATCCTGAAGTGTAGGGTACATGTAAGTTCGTTTTGACTGTTTTGTATGACTCCGTTCTTCATTTATTTTGCCTAAAACATGTACAGCTTTCCTTTTCAGTGTAGTTGTTTTAATTTTTTAAAAAAACTCAAAATAAAGAGGAATGCAAATTATTTTCGTAAGCAACTTGGATGATTTTAATTTTAAATAGAATTTTACGTTTCAAAGTATGAGTAATAAGTTGAAGAGTTTATCGGCGAAAAGCAGATATCTATAAATGAGATAATGATTTTAATTATTTGAATTAAAACCTTACATTTCACAAGCTAGATACAGCATTCCCGTCCGTGTTGTATCAGACATGAATGAACATGATTTTTTTTACATGAATTATTACTGCAATGAGATTTTTAAAGTGTATTTATTATATAGTAGACAGTGAGATACCAAAAACTACACAGTAAGATATTTTCCATATCTTTACTAGTGAAGATATCGATCACGTGATCATTCCCGCCAATTGCATTGTGTTTACAAGTTGTCACTTCGCAGAAAAAATGGCGAGGTTTGTGGAAGTGACTACTGTATATAATAAAAAGAACATTACTGTACATGGTGGCTTAAAGACATGAATTTTATCTTCTCGTGGTGGAAAACAATATTTTACTCACTCGTAAATATTGTTTTTACCACTCGAAGATAAAATTCATATCCTTGCACCGCTGTGTAATATCCTCTACATATAGAGTACCTCATGCATGTAAGTCTCCTCATCCAGTGTAACGAAGTTATCATGGTTACCATAAATCAATAGTGTTGGAACCATCAAATCAGAGTGAAACTGTTCATCTCCTTCGCTCCATGTCTAGATATATAATAGTAACGAAAGATTCTCATAAAAAATGTTAAGATATTCTAATCATCATCTATATTTACAGTTCCCCAAGGTTTCGGAATTGAGACTTGATGATGGTTCAGGGTACAACCATTGACCAAATGTATAATCATTATAGAGGGAGCCATAGGCAGACCTGGATAAAATGTTTAATGTTCCTAGCATCCTGAATTTTCCTTTTTCAAAGGGACAGGTCACTATTTATACAGGAAATTAATTTTGCTGATCCAACCATAAAAAGTTTAAAACATTTTTACCCAACCTCAAATATCAACAAAAAAGAAATACCCACCCCTGGACGAAAACTTACAAAAGGGTACATTCAGTTGTCATACCTATCCTTACCACTTCTGTGAGTTTGATAACTGCTTGTGCAATTTTCTGCACTCTAAAGTTACATACATGTTTCAAATGACAGAGAAGGAAGTATGACATTATTATTCCTTAATCCCAAGATCCCATCTTTTCTCAGGTGTGGCCTGGGCAGTGGTGTTCTGTAGGAACTGGAGACACACTACCCCTGGCAGGGCGACAGAATTGCCTTCCAAATTAGAAAAATTGATTTGATAACAAAATTGAATGTGCAAGGCTAAGCGCTTCTCTGTGGATAACCAGGGCGTAATAAAGGTGTTTTACAGCGCCCTGGGGTAAGCTATGAGTTATTAGATCATCATAAATAAGACGTCATCATAGAAAGTTTACCTGTCCCATCATCATAGCACGTAAAACATAAGACGGAACTTTGAAAGCATCAGAGGATTGGATTGTGTCTTGGGATGTGTGAGCATGGAATCCCATTCTATAGAGTAGAAGGAAATAGGAGAATGTCATTCTTACAAATATAATTTATTATATACACGCGGGCTAAAAACGATCAGGTTGTTGCAATATATAGTTGATGAAAACAGGATTGAACAATGTTAAAGTGGTTACTTTCGGCTCAGAAATGGTTATTTTTACCGCGCGTAATGCAAATATATGCAAAATTTGCGAACTTCACAGGGCAATATTTTCCTCATTTTACAACAATTCACAACCAAACTTTGTAATTTTACTCATTTTAAGATGCTCTTTCCAGCTGTGGTAATGGATTTCGTTCTTCTTGTCTAGATCAAAATTTCGTCTATAGCTGGAATGATCTATGGTAAGGGACGGGTCATTATTTATGGCGGGGGGTGGCACCGAAGAGAAATGTTTTCCGTGTCAAAAATTTTGCTGACCCAACCATTAAAAAGACAAAAATTTGATTACCCAACCTCAAATATCAATTAAAAACTAACTACCCACCCCTGGCCAAAAACTTAACAAAAGGATACCATTCAGTTGTCATACATGTCCTTTATCACTTCAGTGACATGAGTTTGATAACGGCTTGTGAAATGTTCTGCAGTCTAAAGTTTCATGTTGTCTGCACATGTACTTTCTTTGGAAATACAATTTGTTTTGTCGAACTATGGTGAAGATAGTGACTCTGATTGATTCACATATTGTATTGACAAATGACTGTTGACATTGCTTTTCAGTCTCCAATATTTCAGTGGGTCATGCTTTGGAAATGACAGTAAATTTTTATTACCCAACCCTTGAGTTGTTTTGTTTTTCATTTACCCAACCTTTTACTCACTCAAAATTTTGTTTACCCAACCCTTTTCTCTTCGGTGCCACCCCCCGCCATAAATAATGACTCGTCCCTTAGTTGTATCAAGCAAGATGTCCAGAAATCTTGATAGTTTGGTTAAACCATTAACACGCAAGACTCGCCCTTCTTTTCAAATGGGTATAAGTACCTGGCGCCTAATATGAAAAGTGGCTTATACGAGTTTGACTCATTCTTTAGAAAAACGATTTCTGTAGTTTATTTCCTTTTATTGTTATGGGGCGACTATTTCAAAATGAAACAGGATGACCATTTGAAATTGAAACATAATTTTTTTTTTATTATAATATTTAAGCAGGGAGCCCATATCGATCTCCAAGGAGTTTTTCAATGGGGTAGTAATGAACAGTGCCTAGTAATCAATGCCTAGTAATGAACATGGGGAATACATTACATTACAATTACAATACCTCCGAAATGACCAGACTACAAAAGGTTTTAGACAAGCCAAGATAAATGAAGGCAGACAAAATAGTTGACAAGGTTGTGGATTTAATGGCACAGGTCCCCCACCACTGATTAAGATCATTTTGGATACTTGACGAGGTCGTTGCGATGCTATCTTGGTGCAAAATGAACACCTAGAATGAAATCAAGCTTTCTGATTTATACACCCGTCAGGTACTACCAGATATTGCCTGATATTGAGGGGAGGTGTGGGGAGGTGCGCACCTCCCATGAGATTGTTTTGCACCTCCCCAGAGAATTTTTGCACCTCCCATGAAAAGTCAAGCACCCGACCCCCAAAATGAAAATTTGACATTTTTTGGTTGCTTAGGGTCTACACTTGACTTTGTAAGAAAGTTCTTCTGTAAAATTGAAAACAGTGATAGCTATCCATCTCTGCCATTAGGCGTGCAATTCTTTTCATATGTATGTTTATGTTTAAAAATGTTTATGTTTGAACAGAAATCGTTAACGTTTTAAAAGCAACCAATCAACGTTTGTCATGATCCATGAGAAACATTGCGAAGATCATGGCAAACGTTGATTGGTTGCTTTTAAAATGTTAACGGTTTCCGGCCAAACATGAACGTTTTAAACGTAAACATACATGAAAAGAATTGCACGCCTAACGGTAGCTTGCAAATTAACAGCAGTAATGCAAAGAAACTTTGTAGTAATTGTAATGAAGGGTAGAATTGGATGAGTTGTACAGTCATAATTCATTAATACACTGAACATATGTACACTACAATACATGCATACGTCACATTGACTTTGGCCCTTTCTAAGCCTTAACTTTCCATGGGGGCCATGAGCTAAACTGCTGCACCTCCCCTAAATTTTTCCCTCTTCCCCCACTATTTCCACCAAAATTCGGCCTTGGTGGTGTTTAATTGTCACTGTGACATATGCTGGCTCAGATTCCTATAAAAAATGTTCTTAAAACATACAGAATAGACTATATAGCATATGGCTACAGATGTTAGGGAACCATGGAGCGATGCTACTCAGTCCATAGTCGAAAGGGCAAAATATCCACTTTAAAAATTTGAATTAAGAATTTTGGAGTTACAGCTAGATAAGAGTGGTGCCATAAACATGGCCAAAACCCGTTGGTGGAACAACAGACCTTTTCGCCCTTATACTGTACCACTTCTATCCCCCTTCCCCCCAAACAATGCTGTTTGACGCAGTGGCAGACACTGGGGAGGCGGGGGAGGGGCGGCTCCCTCCCAATAATTTTGAAAGATCTATAAAAGATGCATGGTACAAAATATCATAATTCACAAGGATTGTCTAGGAGCAAGTGGCAAGCATACCCATATAACATAATTGTCATATTAAATAATGACTACATATTAACCCATTGAGTGGCGAGCAAAATTGAGATGGCATTAGACAGAATAGAATAATAAAGTACTAGGACACTTCTGGGCACATTGCCACTTAAAGGGTTAAAATTAATCTACAGGCATCAGGCATGGAAAATAAAATACATCAATGGAACAGAATGGGATGAACAAAACAAAACATAATAAAATGGAGATAAATAGATTTGGAATGGAATGGATGCAATATAATGGAACAAAATGAAATGGAATCAGATCCTTTGAATCATGATAATTCAAACTTATGTAATGGGTCGTTCCAGAAAAGATCCATACCCCCCCCACGGAGGAAATTTTTGCTGTCCGAAGGGGGAGGGAGGAAAAATGTCTTAGGATGTCCGAAGGGGGGGAGAGGAAAAATGTCTTAGGATGTCCGAAGGGGGGAGAGGGACGTGGATATGTTTGTCTGAAGGTTTGAGACTGTGATAGCTATGTGATCGGCGATTATAATGAGCACGCAATTTTTTATCGGCTATATGTAGCTCTTGAACACCGGAACGTTTATGTAACAGCAATAATTATACGCCCACGTAACTCGTAAGCAAAATAAGCGGCCCACTTTTGCATGCATGGCCACCAAAAACTTAACCTGAAGTTCAGGCCGTATCACAGAATAGGGCCTGACACAAAACCTATCTAAAGTGTGGGATTCCCGTCCACCTGGTGGACGGGAAATCTGATTGGTTGATCAGCATCATGAAGGATTTTGATTGGTTGCAAGTTCACATAAACAACAGTTTTAAAAATAGCTCGGTCAAGGCGAGAATTAATATAAAGGTCAAACGCACGTAACAAATTCCATTATCGATTTCTTCGAATTTCTTTTCTTTTATGCTTTATGGCAGAAAATAAATCAAACAAACAGTATTTTGGAAGGGCTTCATCAAAATCTTTGACGAATTTTGGATACACACGACGCTGAAAGAACAGCCAAACTAGTCATGTATTCAAAAGCTTGTTGTTGACAGCCAAGATGTTCTGCCAAATTGCTTCGCCGGCAAAAGTCGTATTTCTAATATCAGGTCCTACCGGCGTTGTTTTCTGAGCTACATCGCCTTCTTCGTGGTATGATTGAGAATTTAATTGTTGCTGTTATTAGCCCGTTAGTCGTTAGAGTATATCCGCGTCCAGCGAGTTGAGACCTTGAGAAAGCTTGGCAGTCAATCCGTGCACAGAACTGACTAATTAAATCTTTGTTTGCTGTTCGCCTGTTCGGTTAAATAGAGAAACTGACTCTTAATTATATAAAAGTACCTTGAATTTTTAAGTTTAATTAAAAAGCAAAATGCTCTGTGGACATGTTATGAGAATATAATTTTTTTGTGTAACGAAATCTACAACCACTTGTCAATCATATTACATGTGTATCTAAAAATAACATGTGGGCGTCCCACGGTCTAGACAGGTTTTGTGTCAGGCCCTATTTCAAATTAGGGGCATGGTAGACTTTACGGGTAGCGGATTGCGGAGTGCGGATTGCGGATGCGGATTGCGGATGCGGATTGCGGATTGCGGATGCGGATTGCGGATGCGGATTGCGGATGCGGATTGCGGATGCGGATTGCGGATTACGGATGCGGACTGCGGATGCGGATTACGGATGCGGATTACGGATGCGGATTACGGATGCGGATTGCGGATTGTGAACCCATGCAAATCGTTTATTTCTTCTGAAAAAAGCCACAATAACTGCCTGTAGCTACTTGTAGCTATGCTATGCCCCCTAGGAAATGGCTATATATGCCTTGGTTGTAACGGAGTATATCTGTGTTAGAATGAAGCAGCCGAATATTTCGACAATAAAGAATAAACCAAGTTTGAATAAAATGAAACACTCAGATTCAAACATTTCGTAAGTCACATCGCGTGTACGGCGTATATGGAGCTAAAGAATTCATTGACCGA